GTTGGTTGCAGGCAGGATCATCGCTGTTGATTGTCGAAGTTGATTGTTGCCGGGATGATCGCTGTTGGTTGTTTGATTGTTGCCGGGATGATCGATGATTGTTGTTGTTGTTGTTGGTTGATTGTTGCCGGGATGATCGCTGTTGGTTGTTGAAGTTGATTGTTGTTGTTGTTGGTTGCTGGCAGGATCATCGCTGTTGTTGTTGTCGAAGTTGATTGTCGGATGTCGCTGTTGGTTGTTGCCGGGATGATTGCTTTTGGTTGCTGCGGGATCATCGGTTGTCGATAGTTGATTGTTCACTTTATTGTTGTTGATTGTTGCTGGCAGGCAGGATCATCGCTGTTGATTGTCGAAGTTGATTGTTGCCGGGATGATCGCTGTTGGTTGTTGAAGTTGATTGTTGTTGTTGTTGTTGTTGGTTGCCGGCAGGATCATCGCTGTTGATTGTCGAAGTTGATTGTTGCCAGGATGATCGCTGTTGGTTGTTGAAGTTGATTGTTGTTGTTGTTGTTTGGCTGGCAGGATCATCGCTGTTGATTGTTGAAGTTGATTGTTGCCGGGATGATCGCTGTTGGTTGTTGAAGTTGATTTGTTGTTGCTGGCAGAATCACCTTGGTTGCAGGATCATCATCGCTGTTGATTGTTGAAGTTGATTGGTTGCCGGATCATCGCTGATCGCTTTTGGTTGTCATCTCTGTTGGCTGTCGAAGTTGATTGTTGCCGGGATGATCGTTGTTGTTGATTGATTGTTGTTGTTGTTGTTGGTTGCAGGCAGGATCATCGCTGTTGATTGTCGAAGTTGATTGTTGCCGGGATGATCGCTGTTGGTTGTTGAAGTTGATTGTTGTTGTTGGTTGTTGGTTGCAGGATGATTGTTGCATCGCTGTTGGTTGTTGAAGTTTTGTTGATTTGGTTTCAGGATCGAATTGTTGATTGTTGCCGGGATGATCGCTGTTGGTTGTTGAAGTTGATTGTTGTTGTTGTTGGTTGCAGGTTGATTGGCAGGATCATCGCTGTTGGTTGTTGAAGTTGATTGTTGCCGGGATGATCGCTGTTGGTTGTTGAAGTTGATTGTTGTTGTTGTTGTTGTTGCCCAGGATCATCGCTGTTGATTGTTGAAGTTGATTGTTGCCGGGATGATCGCTGTTGGTTGTTGAAGTTGATTGTTTTGTTGTTGGGATGGCATCATCTTTGTTGATTGTCGAAGTTGATTGTTGCCGGGATGATCGCTTATTGGTTGTTGATTGATTGTTGTTGTTGTTGTTGTTTGCTGGCAGGATCATCGCTGTTGATTGTTGAAGTTGATTGTTGCCGGGATGATCGCTGTTGGTTGTTGTTGTTGATTGATTGTTGTTGTTGTTGGTTGCAGGCAGGATCATCGCTGTTGATTGTCGAAGTTGATTGTTGCCGGGATGATCGCTGTTGGTTGTTGAAGTTGATTGTTGTTGTTGTTGGTTGCTGGCAGGATCATCGCTGTTGATTGTCGAAGTTGATTGTTGCCGGGATGATCGCTGTTGGTTGTTGAAGTTGATTGTTGTTGTTGTTGGGTTGCTTGGATCATCGCTGTTGATTGGCAGGATCATGATCGCTGTTGGTTGTCGAAGTTGATTGTTGCCGGGATGATCATCGCTGTTGATTGTTGAAGTTGATTGATCGCTGTTGATTGTCGAAGTTGATTGTTGGGGATGATCGCTGTTGGTTGTTGAAGTTGATTGTTGTTGTTGTTGTTGGTTGATTGCCAGGATGATCGCTGGATCATCGATTGTTGCCGGGATGTTGTTGATTGTCGAAGTTGATTGTTGCCGGGATGATCGCTGTTGGTTGTTGAATTGTTGTTGTTGTTGTTGGTTGCTGGCAGATCATCGCTGTTGATTGTCGAAGTTGATTGTTGCCGGGATGATCGCTGTTGGTTGTTGAAGTTGATTGTTGTTGTTGTTGTTGGTCATCTCTGTTGTTGTTGCAGGCAGGGATTAGGATTGTTGCATGATCGCTGTTGGTTGTTGATTGATTGTTGTTGTTGTTGGTTGCTGGCATCATCGCTGTTGATTGTCGAAGTTGATTGTTGCCGGGATGATCGCTGTTGGTTGTTGAAGTTGATTGTTGTTGTTGTTGTTGGTTGCTGGCAGGATCATCGCTGTTGATTGTTGAAGTTGATTGTTGCCGGGATGATCGCTGTTGGTTGTTGAAGTTGATTGTTGTTGTTGTTGGTTTCTGGCAGGATTGTTGATTGCCAAGTTGATTGTTGCCAGGATGATCGCTGTTGGTTGTTGAAGTTGATTGTTGTTGTTGTTGTTGGTTCTGGCAGAATCATCGCTGTTGATTGTTGAAGTTGATTGTTGCCGGGATGATCGCTGTTGGTTGTTGAAGTTGTTGTTGTTGGTTGGTTGCATCATCTCTGTTGATTGTCGAGTTGATTGTTGCCGGGATGATCGCTGTTGGTTGTTGGAAGTTGATTGTTGTTGTTGTTGTTGGTTGCTGGCAGGATCATCGCTCTGTTGATTGTCGAAGTTGATTGTTGCCGGGATGATCGCTGTTGGTTGTTGAAGTTGATTGTTGTTGTTGTTGTTTTGCTGGCAGGATCATCGCTGTTGATTGTTGAAGTTGATTGTTGCCGGATGATCGCTGTTGGTTGTTGAAGTTGATTGTTGTTGTTGTTGGTTTGGATCATCGCTGTTGATTGTCGAAGTTGATTGTTGCCGGATGATCGCTGTTGGTTGTTGATTGATTGTTGTTGTTGTTGTTGGTTGTTGCTGGCAGGATCATCGCTGTTGATTGTCGAAGTTGATTGTTGCCGGGATGATCGCTGTTGGTTGTTGAAGTTGATTGTTGTTGTTGTTGGTTGGTTGCAGGCAGGATCATCGCTGTTGATTGTCGGATTGTTGCCGGGATGATCGCTGTTGGTTGTTGAAGTTGATTGCCGGGATGTTGTTGTTGTTGTTGAGGCAGGGATCATCTGTTGATTGTTGAAGTTGATTGTTGCCGGGATGATCGCTGTTGGTTGTTGAAGTTGATTGTTGTTGTTGTTGGTTGCTGGCAGGATCATCGCTGTTGATTGTCGAAGTTGATTGTTGCCGGGATGATCGCTGTTGGTTGTTGAAGTTGATTGTTGTTGTTGTTGGTTGCTGGCAGGATCATCGCTGTTGATTGTTGAAGTTGATTGTTGCCGGGATGATCGCTGTTGGTTGTTGAAGTTTGTTGTTGTTGTTGGTGGTTGCAGGCAGGGATCATCGCTGTTGATTGTTGATTGATTGTTGCCGGGATGATCCGTGTTGATTGTTGCCGTTGATGATCGCTGTTGGTTGCTGGCAGGATCATCGCTGTTGATTGTTGAAGTTGAAGGGATGATCATGATTGATTGTTGTTGTTGTTGGTTGCAGGATCATCGCTGTTGATTGTTGAAGTTGATTGTTGCCGGATGTTGTTGGTTGTTGTTGATTGTTGTTGTTGTTGTTGGTTGCAGGCAGGATCATCGCTGTTGATTGTTGAAGTTGATTGTTGCCGGGATGATCGCTGTTGGTTGTTGAAGTTGATTGTTGTTGTTGTTGGTTGCTGGCAGGATCATCGCTGTTGATTGTCGAAGTTGATTGTTGCCGGGATGATCGCTGTTGGTTGTTGAAGTTGATTGTTGTTGTTGTTGTTGGTTGCTGGCAGAATCATCTCTGTTGATTGTTGAAGTTGATTGTTGCCGGGATGATCGTTTGGTTGTTGAAGTTGCAGGTTGCCGGGATCATCGCTGTTGATTGTTGATTGTTGCCGGGATGATCGCTGTTGGTTGTTGATTGTTGTTGTTGTTGTTGGTTGCGGCAGGATCATCGCTGTTGATTGTCGAAGTTGATTGTTGCCGGGATGATCGCTGTTGGTTGTTGAAGTTGATTGTTGTTGTTGTTGGTTGGTTGCATCGCGGGATCATCGCATCGGATTGTTGCATCGCTGTTGATTGAAGTTGATTGTTGTTGTTGATTGTTGCCAGGATGATCGCTGTTGGTTGTTGAAGTTGATTGTTGTTGTTGTTGTTGTTGCTGTTGTTGTTGTTGAGTTGATTGTTGCCGGGATGATCGCTGTTGTTGTTGAAGTTGATTGTTGTTGTTGTTGTTGGTGGCAGGATCATCGCTGTTGATTGTCGAAGTTGATTGTTGCCGGGATGATCGCTTGGTTGTTGAAGTTGATTGTTGTTGTTGTTGTTGTTGCTGGCAGGATCATCGCTGTTGATTGTTGATTGTTGCCGGGATGATCGCTGTTGGTTGTTGTTGATTGTTGTTGTTGTTTTGGTTGCAGGCAGGATCATCGCTGTTGATTGTCGAAGTTGATTGTTGCCGGGATGATCGCTGTTGGTTGTTGAAGTTGATTGTTGTTGTTGTTGTTGGTTGCTGGCAGGATCATCGCTGTTGATTGTCGTTGATGATCGCTGTTGGTTGTTGAAGTTGATTGTTGTTGGTTGTTGGTTGCTGGCAGGATCATCGCTGTTGATTGTCGAAGTTGATTGTGATCGTTTGTTGGTTGTTGAAGTTGATTGTTGTTGTTGTTGGTTGCTGGCAGGATCATCGCTGTTGATTGTTGAAGATTGATTGTTGCCGGGATGATCGCTGTTGGTTGTTGAAGTTGATTGTTGTTGTTGTTGGTTGCTTGGCAGGATCATCGCTGTTGATTGTTGAAGTTGATTGTTGCCGGGATGATCGCTGTTGGTTGTTGAAGTTGATTGTTGTTGTTGGTTGCTGGCAGGATCATCGCTGGATTGTCAGAAGTTGATTGTTGCCGGGATGATCGGTTGGTTGTTGAAGTTGATTGTTGTTGTTGTTGTTGGTTGCAGGCAGGATCATCGCTGTTGATTGTCGAAGTTGATTGTTGCCGGGATGATCGCTGTTGGTTGTTGAAGTTGATTGTTGTTGTGCTGTTGGTTGCTTGGCAGGATCATCGCTGTTGATTGTTGAAGTTGATTGTTGCCGGGATGATCGCTGTTGGTTGTTGAAGTTGATTGTTGTTGTTGTTGGTTTGCTGGCAGATCATCGTTGTTGCCGGGATGATCGCTGTTGGTTGTTGAAGTTGATTGTTGTTGTTGTTGGTTGCAGCAGGTTGATTGTCGATCCGGGATGATCGCTGTTGGTTGTTGAAGTTGATTGTTGTTGTTGTTGTTGGTTGCTGGCAGGATCATCGCTGTTGATTGTCGAAGTTGATTGTTGCCGGGATGATCGCTGTTGGTTGTTGAAGTTGATTGTTGTTGTTGTTGTTGGTTGGTTGCTGGCAGGATCATCGCTGTTGATTGTTGAAGTTGATTGTTGCCGGGATGATCGCTGTTGGTTGTTGATTGTTGTTGATTTGTTTGTTGTTGATGCTGTTGATTGGATTGTTGAGTTGATTGTTGCCGGGATGATCATGTTGGTTGTTGAAGTTGATTGTTGTTGTTGTTGGTTGCTGGCAAGTTTGATTGCCGGATGATCGCTGTTGTTGCCGGATGATCGCTGTTGGTTGATCGCTGAAGTTGTTGATTGTTGTTGTTGGTTGCTGGCAGGATCATCGCTGTTGATTGTTGAAGTTGATTGTTGCCGGGATGATCGCTGTTGGTTGTTGAAGTTGATTGTTGTTGTTGTTGTTGGTTGCTGGCAGATCATCGCTGTTGATTGTCGAAGTTGATTGTTGCCGGATGATCGCTGTTGGTTGTTGAAGTTGATTGTTGTTGTTGTTGGTTGCTGGCAGGATCATCGCTGTTGGTTGTCGAAGTTGATTGTTGCCGGGATGATCGCTGTTGGTTGGTTGTTGATGAGCTTGATTGTTGTTGTTGTTGTTGTTGCTGGCAGGATCATCGCTGTTGATTGGAAGGATTGTTGCATGATCGCTGTTGGTTGTTGATTGATTGTTGTTGTTGTTGGTTGCTGGCATCATGCTGTTGATTGTTGAAGTTGATTGTTGCCGGGATGATCGCTGTTGGTTGTTGAAGTTGATTGTTGTTGTTGTTGTTGGTTGCTGGCAGGGATGATCGCTGTTGGTTGTTGATCGCTTGTTGATTGTTGTTGTTGTTGTTGGTTGCTGGCAGGATCATCGCTGTTGATTGTTGAAGTTGATTGTTGCCGGATGATCGCTGTTGGTTGTTGATTGTTGCCGGATTGATTGTTGTTGTTGTTGTTGGTTGCTGGCAGGATCATCGCTGTTGATTGTCGAAGTTGATTGTTGCCGGGATGATCGCTGTTGGTTGTTGAAGTTGATTGTTGTTGTTGTTGGCAGGATTCGCTGTTGGTTGTCGGTGATCGCTGTTGCAGGATTCATCTCTGTTGATTGTTGAAGTTGATTGTTGCCGGGATGATCGCTGTTGGTTGTTGAAGTTGATTGTTGTTGTTGTTCGCTGTTGGTTGTCGGTTGATTGTTGCCGGGATCATCGCTGTTGATTGTTGATTGTTGTTTTGATGGTTGCCGATGATCGCTGTTGGTTGTTGATTGATTGTTGTTGTTGTTGGTTGCTGGCAGGATCATCGCTGTTGATTGTTGAAGTTGATTGTTGCCGGGATGATCGCTGTTGGTTGTTGAAGTTGATTGTTGTTGTTGTTGTTCATCGCTGTTGATTGTTGAAGTTGATTGTTGCCGGATGATCGCTGTTGGTTGTTGAAGTTGATTGTTGTTGTTGTTGTTGGTTGCTGGCAGGATCATCGCTGTTGATTGTTGAGTTGATTGTTGCCGGGATGATCGCTGTTGGTTGTTGAAGTTGATTGTTGTTGTTGGTTGCTGGCAGGATCATCGTTGATTGTTGATTGTTGCCGGATGATCGCTGTTGGTTGGATGATTGTTGTTGTTGTGGTTGCTGCAGGATTGGTTGTTGATTGTGCTGATTGTTGATTTGCCGGTTGATCGCTGTTTGTTGTTGAAGTTGATTGCTGCCGGGATGATCGATGTTGGTTGTTGAAGTTGATTGTTGCAGGGTTGTTGGTTGCTGGCAGGATCATCGTTGATTGGTTGCTGGCGGGATCATCGTTGTTGATTGTTGTGCCGGGATGCTGGAAAGGATTGTTGGTTGTTGCTGGCAGTTCGTCGATTGTTGTTGTTGGTGATCGCTGGCAGGATCATCATCGTTGTTGTTGGTTGCTGAAGTTGATTGTTGCCGGGATGATCGCTGTTGGTTGTTGCAGTTGGAGTTGATGTTGGCCGGGATGATCGATGTTGGTTGTTGAAGTTGATTGTTGTCGGGTTGCCAACTTGACGTATTGGGAAGGAAAGAAGAGCTGGCGTTGTTCGGGCATGTCACAGGTCCGGTGCAGGTGTTGCGTGTTTGCCGGTCGAGTCCGATATTAGTAACCTCCCGTATTAATTACTAACATAGTGTAGGGACGGAATGCCGAGAGTCGAACAGGGCCAAGGAGCCAAGACTAGTAGGCGAACGGGAGAGAGAGAAAGGAAAGTTTCCAACTATCGTCAAGTTGGGAGCGTAACTTAATACGCAGCCCGGTGATCGACGTCCCTGGCCAACGAATGCCAGGGGCCTGCGTATCTGACCGTTTCAGTAGCCGACCCGGATTTAGTGAGAAGTCTTGTGATAAGAGAGTCCAGCAAGAGAATTGGATAAGCTAACAGTAAAGTCTCTATAATAAAATACGTCGAGGTTAGCTAAAGGGAGCTATAGCCTAAAAATGTCTAGCAGTATATTACAACTAGGTTTGTAATATAACTTAACTAAAAAGGGGACTTGCTAGTATCTCTCCCACGCGTTAACAGTGTATAGGGAGCACGAATGAGAGGTCAAGGTCGAAATGACCTGTTCCTCTGCCGGTTCAAGGATCGAAGGAGGAGGTAACTCCGACAGACTTACAAACTGAATATTGACGATTCCCATTGGATAATAACGGATGTTATTTATGGCCCCATCTCTTCATTTAATTAAACAGACATATGGACACATTTTTGAGATTTCCACTTCAAGCTCCTTACATTTTGATAATTTTTTGAAGATCTTCAAAGATACAATTACAATCTGCAGGGACATCCGCCATGTCAATAAGAAAGCACATTCTGTTTTTGTAGTCTTTAATCACAACGTCTCGGCGATTAGCTTTCATTGTTCTGTTTGTATTGTAAAGTCCCATAAAAATTGTTTCAGGTTCTGCGTTTTTAACCGGGTCTGCATGGTATTCATACCAGTTTCTTACAGTTTCCTTCCCGTAAAAGTTGTAGATTTTTCAGTACTGATATTGACCTATCCTATCATACCGATTTTTATAATTAGTGGGTGGGTAACAATGTGCAAAACCTGATACAAGATAGTCAATTGTTTCTGGATAATTATCACAGAATCTACATTTGGGACCAACACAACTTTTCAATATGTGTGCTTGGTAATTTCTAGTTAGCAATCATTAGTCCTGTGCAGTAAGAATAAAACCTTCGGTTTCAGCTTTTAACCCTGCACTACGTAACCAAAGATTGATACGGTTTTTGTCTACATCAGCTTGTTTTCTATTATTATTATTATAGAACTGTATAATTTGTCGTCCATGTTAGAACTTAGATAGTTTTTCCGAAACATATATGCAATGAAATTAGAAAGGTTTAACAAAGCAAAGGCAGATCGGTTTTCTACGACCATAAAAAAAAACTTCTCCTCTTCCCTCTTTATTCCCCCAAGAACCGAATTTTTGCTACTCTTGGATTTTCTTTTACGGAATTTTATCTCATCTCTCTCTCTACCGTTACACCTTCCTCCCACTCCCTAATTACCTCATTGGCATACTCTTTTTTACACAACCTTCTCCAGTTAAATTGTACCAATGTCTTCTTGCTACCTATGCTAAGTTTCCTCTGCACAAAATCTTACAGTAGTTTGTTTATCCAGTAATAAGCTAATTCCACGCCGTTTCAGCGTCAAGTGTAACTCAGCAAATCAACAATTATGTCTGACAGACTTTCTAAAACTACAATTTCTAATGCTATACATATAAACTACCTTGTCATGCTTATAAGAATCATCACTAATTAAGATATAAATGTAAGGTATAACACCCTAGCCGGGTTGCCCAAGACTTCCAACAAACGTGCCTGGTCGCTTAAGTGACCGCTTCAGTCCAGAACTAACCCTATCCAACGTTGTGATTTAAGGTTGATCACAACTAGCAGCTAAGATCGAATCGTCGCGGGTATCTTCGTGTTGGGCTGGTTCAAGCAGGGTGATGACGTACAGGAAAAAAAATAACACTCAAATAAATTGAACAAAAGTAAAAAAAAAAATCTGTTTTGCTGTTGTTGATAAGGTTCGGCACAAGGCTGAACTCGGAGGCTTTCGTCGACAGATAATCACGTGGGCCTCTTTCCTGTCCCTGGTCTCGTCTCCGTTTCTTCTGCCTCTCTTCTCTCTTCTTCTCTCTAATTCGCTTCGCGCATTCGTATTTATGGACATAAGCCCAAATTGGCATGGGGGTATGGCGAGGTAGGATCATTTCGGTGAATTCCCTCCGGCTTAAGTCACCCTCTCTTTTATTATCCTCTCTCACCAACGTCTTCAGTGAACGTGGGTGGTTCCTCCATCCTCCTTGATGTCTTATCTGCACCTGCTACCACCTGCTACTACGACCATTTTCCGTCCAGGAAAACTCAGTTCCAAATTCAGTTGTTTACAAAATCTAGTTTTTTGCTTTCCAGCCCACATTTGCAGCTGTGTGTCAATCAATATTGCCCCCCCCCCCACCTATGTCTTGGTTACTTTTCCATTGTTCAAACTGCTCGACATACACTTCAAGTCTTTTATGTGGGAATTAAACCCTCAATTTTTTCCACGGGTTTTTGGCATTAAACCTTTGCGTTTCAATGTCTCTCAGTACATAACATTTTCTTATGTTTTAACAAAACCTTTCTTTTTCGTTTTACTGCGGCAACAACAAATAGTATCACATATATACATATCGAAATATGCATTTATTGTTAAGCAACCTATCACCTCTCTATCCTGAATCTAACAAATTAAATTTGATTGGCTAGAAAAATCTCATAAACATTGACTTACACTATAAAACCCATGTCGCAATTACTCCAGCCAAAAACGAAAACTGTTCATTCTGCAGAACTCTCTCTCTCTCTCTCTCTCTCTCTCTCTCTCTCTCTCTCTCTCTTCGAGAGCAATTAACCTCTGTTTATACACCACAATATCCTTCCACACCTTTTTTGGAAGATTTAAGAAAAACATTTTTTACATAACATAATCCCGACACCACAAAGGAGGACATCGATTTCTGGTGAAACATCGCAATTGTTGTTCTTGACTTTGAACCCAGAAAAGTCATTCTCTTCTTCCAAGCTTACACCATCATATTCGTCATCAAAATCAGTGTCAACCATCTTGAAATTTGGAATTTTTTCACGATGTTTACATGTCAAGTGTACAGGCCAGGTTTACCCAGCTTCTGAACAGTTATGGCTGACCCTTTTCTGTCAATAACAGTGTAGAGCTGAATAGAAAATGGTGTTGAAAATTTATTGTTTCTTTTTTCCCGTCAGAGCACATGGTCACCTTGCATACAGTTTTGCTTCTTTCTTTTTTTATTAAAGTATTGCCTTGATTTATACTTTCGTTTATCATCAGCGTATTTTGACTTTTTATGTTGATTCTCAGTAGTAATAGTAGGGATGTTGTCTCGTA